CACTTTCTTCTCTCTCTGTCCTCTCTCTGTGAACAGTGAGCGATGCTACAGTCCATCAAAAAATTGGGTGAACGACATCGCCCTCGCCACTGTTACAGCAGCATGTTGCTACTGTGCTGCACTATCGCAGCCAGCGATGTGAGCCCCGATAGTGGTATCGCCTTTTTTCCTCTTCTGCATATGTTTCTGGTGGTATGGTTGTAGAGTATTGGCTGTGTTGGGTGGCATATCTGGTCGTTGCAGTGATGGAAGTGATGGTGGTCGTGGCGGATCTGGTGGTCGTAGTGATGGTGGCAGGATTTGGTTTGGATCTTATTTGTTTGTTGGAAATGGTAGTTGTGGTGGTGGCTGAAAATGGTTGAGGTGGCCATGACGCTGTGAGGTGATGGCGGTTTGTGGAGTTGATTGAAGTTGGTGGTTGATTGAAGTTGCAGGAGGAGGTGGAGGTGGTGTTTGAAGTTGGCGTTTGTGGGCGGCGGCGGCGCACGATCGTTTCCGGCGACGACGGTGGTGTGTTTCTGTTGTTGGCGACGATGGTGTGTGTTTCTTTGGTGGCGGCGCAGCGTAGTGGTGTTGTGTTGTTGGTGGGGACAGTGGTGGTGGGATAGCGTTTGTGACCAATTATTTGGTTAATTTGTGACCAAGTATTGGTTGATTGGAATCGGAGGTGGGGTATTTGGTGCATGTGACCAACTATTTGGTTTATTGTGACTAACCATCCTATCCTATCCTCAGATTCGGGCGACCTAATGTCACAGCCCGGCATAATCCCATATTCCCGAGCACACTCCACTCCTAGGTGCTCCTTAAATCGACATGGATGGTCGGGGTAAGTAAAGGGTGCCTGAGCCCGAGGCTGAGCACTTATAGGAATAGCCATGGGAATGATCGAACCTCCCCGCTCCTCAGGAGTTGCACCTGAGGACGAGGACGAGCTATCACTATCACTACTCGACATGTTACCTTGAAAACTATTCTAAAGAAACAACTAAAGTGCTCGAGGACTTACCTTAATACTCGATCTCGGGGAGGGCCAAATAAGTTACTGAGAGGCAAAAGGTGAAAAATGAAAGGGGAAAGGAGTATATATACTCACCCTAGAGGGGGAGGCCAAGAGTCGCCTCCTCAGCCCTCAGATCTTGCCACGCGTCATCCATCCAAGGTTTGAATTCTAACCGCCATTTTTTTACCAGGGCTGACGCCATCATGACGTAAGCCCTTACACACGATCAAAGACATGAGCAAAGGGGTCGGCATCGAGGACACCGCAACATTGCACCCATCCTCGATCTTCGAGCACGGATGTACGGGGGCCATTGATATGGTCATAATGTGGGTTATCCCGAGCTCGAGGACTTCGGATGCCCAACCCTTTTCAAAGTGCTCGTGATGTCCTCGGGGTCATAAAATATCCTCGAGATACTCGAGGATATATTTCCCCGGATTGCTCTAACAATTAATCCAGAAGTCCTCGGGATAAGAGGCCTCGGGATATTTACTTGGGTATGTCCAACGCGTCCCTTAACCAAGTATCGCCCTCCCCTCATTCAGGAAGATCCCTAATCCTGCACGGACACCCCAACCTAGGAGTCCTAGATCATGAAGGAGTCTTATCTTTGGTAACACTCCAAACAAGGTAAATCTAGACTCCTACCTAAGTTCCATTACTCACTCCTAAAAATATGGGAATGAATCCTACTTAAACTACACTACCTGCCTCTATAAATATAGCTCCTTCATTCAATATTCAGGTACGTTTTTACACATATATTCAGCATATATTCTCTCAACTTCCCTATCTGACTTAAGCATTGGAGGGGCGACGAGAACACACCTCGACGCCTTTGTTTCAGGTACCGGCAGATCTTGTTCGTGAACATCTCAGTGATCAAGCTCGGAATTCAATAGGTGACGATTTTTGGTAAGATCAGATATATTGGTGGCAAAATGAGTAAAATTGTTTTTTACAAATTGTCACGTGTCCTGTGAACAAAAATGCTATGGTTTTCTAAGAATGTAGCGTGGTCGATCTTTTTCACTTCCTCAGACTCTCCCCGCTCCAACCCGCCCGCCCCCGCGTCCTTCTTCAACAGTTCCCTCAATTAAGAGGCACCCAAAACACGCACGCAGGCAGATGCATACACCGTCCCGTGAAAAGGCCGTCTAATTTCGTAGCGGTCAGTAATTTTCTCTTCGATCTGTTCTTTTGGAAGCAAAATTTAAATCGAAGTTCTTTTTGAATGGAAATTCTTGGGTTCTATTTTTGGAAAAAAGAAATTTTTTACGAAGTAGAAATTCTTCCTATTAGAAAGTATTGAAAGGTAAAGCTATGGTTAGTATGCGAAGATTTTAATTTTGCAGGTACTAAAGAAAACAATAATAAAACAATGGATGCCCAGGCAAAGAAGAAAGCTTTGTTTCGTTCAAAATTGAATGCTCAAAAGCAGGAAAAGCAACGCATTGATTCTCCTCTTGTGAGGTATTGCATTTTTTGTTCGCTCATTATACAGATTGTGAATAATGAAGCAATATTAGTGACCGGACTATTCTTTATGGCAGAAAACTTTGTTATTTGCGAAGTCAAAGAAATTATTTACTTGTACAGTTGTACTAATTGCCCAATTCCTGAGTCTATGATACACAACTCGTGTATATATGTCCTGTGTATATACATATATGCGTTCCCTTTCGGTTGAAGATAGGCTACCAGTTTGAACTTTAGCTAACATGTATTGCACATTTAAATGTATCTTAATGAAAAATGGGGAACTTTGAGACACTTTAGTCATGATTTGTATTTTCCATGTGCACTTAGTACCAACGGGAATTGCTTTGCTTGTTGAAATTGGGAAACCTTTGTAGTGAAATTTTGATATCTTTGTAGTGAATTCATTTGTAGAAGCACTAGAAAATCGTTGAAATGAAATTTCTAATCATATTTTTGTCGACTCATATTCAAACAATTAAATCGTATTTGTAAATGTAGGTACAATGAACATGATCAACTGGTTTGTAGAGTTTGTGACGTTGTCATCAAATCTGAATCTCTTTGGCCTGCACACCAAGCTTCTCGAAAACATCACGAGGTAAAACTTCAATTGTGCCAGGCATAAATGTTTGAATCAGTTTTCTGGTGTCAAGTTGTATTAGAGATAAAATCACAGCTGACTTAACAGGGAAATCCTCAAACTTTACTGTTCAATGGAATTATAGGTTGTTAGTATAAAGATCTACACGTAGTAGATAGCATGATAAACATGGTAATCCTGTGTTGCTTTCTTGATATTTTAATGTTGTTTGATAATGACATTTATATACATGCATTGCTGGATAATGTGAACCTTCTACTAGTCTATTTTTTATGTTAAACACGATTTAGATTGAAAAATATAATAAATAAATAGATGGGGGTCGGGGCGGGATTGGGGAATTTTTCCATCCCTAACTGGTGTTGAGGGGAAGGATATAATTCAGTTATGAGGTAACTTGAAGAAATGTGGGGAGCCAATGTATCTCGCACATATAAAAACGGTGTACAACTTTGAAGCATCCACTTCCTTTCCCTAAACCAATCCAAGCATATAAGTTGACAATTTTCCATTGTCTCTTCTTCCCTTTCTATCCAATAGCCAGAAATCAACAAAGCCTTAGTGGTCAACTATTAACTTATCTTGAAAATATAATCATGACTCTTCTTTCTACCGACCTAGGAAAAAAGACCAATCTACAAATAGGATTAGAAATTTAGAACTCATAGTTTCTGTTTTACCCAAATCATGGCTTCTCTTCTCCCTTTATTAAGAATTCTTAAGTTAGATTTAGGATTTAGGAGCTAGAAATTAAGAACTAGGGCTTCCCCAAAAAAAAAAAAAAAAAAAA